AACAGGCCCAGCTCCCTTAGCCTCTCCCCATAGGGCAGATGTTCCAGGCCCCTGATCATTCTTGCAGCCCTGTGCTGGACTCTCTCCAGCATCTCCACATCCTTCTTGTACTGTGGAGCCCAGAACTGGACACAATACTCCAGATGTGGCCTCACCAGGGCTGAGTAGAGGGGCAGGATCACCTCCCTCGACCTGCTGGAGATGCTCTTCTTAATGCAGCCCAGGATCCCATTGGCCTTCTTGGCCACGAGGGCACACTGCTGCCTCATGGTCAACTTGTCGTCCACCATGACACCCAGGTCTTTCTCCGCAGAGCTGCTCTCCAGAAGGTCGGTTCCCAGCCTGTACTGGTGTCTGGGGTTATTCCTCCCCAGGTGCAGGACCTTGCACTTGGCCTTGTTGAATTGCATGAGGTTTTTCACCGCCCAGTTGTCCAGTCTGTCCAGGTCCCTCTGGATGGCAGCACAGCCCTCTGGGGTATCAGCTACTCCTCCTAGTTTGATCATCAGCAAACTTGCTGAGGGAGCACTCTGTGCCTTCATCCAGGTCATTCATGAATAAATTGAACAGGATCTGTGCAAACTGTTAGCCAGAGCAGGGAGCAGCCTCTCTATGTAAAACGGAGATTTTTTTCCAGCTGCCTAGGAGAAGGCATGCGCAGCACAGTCAGTACTGTAAACCAATCCACTAAAATATAAAAGCAGTAGGTGAGGGTCGCATATAGCCAAAACATCTTCACAGCTTTTTAGAACTGCAGAGAAATATTTCTTGAACATCTCAAGAACTGCAGTGTTGCCCAGCTTTGCAAAGGGAAGGATGGCAAATTGTCTTATGAAAATCATCGTAGTTCTCATTTCTCTCAAGTTCTGGAAGAGCTTCTGCCAGAAAATAATGTCAGTTAAAAGAGGATGTCGTGCTGTTATGGTACAGATGTCTTTGAGCTAATAATCCTTGAACATGAGTTTATTTTTTTTTAAATGCTGTCAACTTTTAATACATTCAACTTTTTTGAAAAGAAACATAAGATCTTACAGAGTTTTAATGTCTGAAGAACATTTTTCATGTGTTTCTATATTTACATTTAAAAGAAAATGTTTCATTGAACTCAGCAAAAAGTGATTTCAATGGTGATTTAAAATAGTAAACGGTTTGAATTAATTCCAACTAAGCATGTGGTGTTTCGAATCCCAGCAGGAGTCTGCTGTAAAGAGACTACTGTCAAGTTCCCTTAGTTGCAGAGAATAAAAGAAGTACCAAAGGAAAAAAAGATCATGGAAATAGATTTTATACTAAAACTGGTATTTCAAGTGCTCGTTTGCTTGTATAGAGTAATTTATTAAGATGTGTAGCTTATATAAAGCAGTTGCATACTCTACAGCAGCTCTACTGTTCAAGATTAAGCTGAAGGCATGCTATTATCCAGAAAAGGAAACATAAGCGAAAGTGATTATTCACATTTTAATGGGGATAATAAGATTATTGCACCTCTCAAGAATTTATGGGCGGGAGATAGATTTCTAACAGTAAACTTTTGATCTCTTCAGTAATTAGAAGTAGAATAGAAGAGACTCAAAAAGATAGAGCTGTCAATCAAGAGCCATGTTTTGTCAGCTTAGCCGCTATGTTGGAAAGTGTCTTGCTGATGTTTTAATGCCAAAACATTTTGTGTGTTTTACTCTCTGAGACTAGCAATAGAGAAGTGTGTTGTGTTTTTTTTTGTTTTTTATTTTACTTGGAAAACAGTTAGGAAAATGAACTGTTTAGGCTTCAAGAATTTATTTTTGCATCTTATGTTCCCTTTGAACCTGCTAAGCATACCAATGCTTGCAAATGCTGGCCCTGATTTTACAAGTTTTAAATGTTTAAGAATTTTAAAATCTTGAAATTACAATTTCATAACATTTTAATTCCTCTGAATAGAAAAATATGCTCAATTTAGCTCCAAAATTAAATTGTCTCATACTTTGATCTAAACGTTAATGCATATTTTACACACAGAATTGTGGATACCTGCCCCTCCAGTGCATATGAAGGCTTTCTAGAAAGGGTTAAAGTAGTAATAATAATTGCATGCTTGCTCTTGCTGTCCCTTGCCCAGTCCTCTCTTTTTTTTGATTATCTAATTTATACTACATTCCCCACAGCCCACAGTGTATGGTGAATGTCAGCAGTGTGGGACAGCAGAAACAGATTGTTTTGCAGCTAGCTAAAATAGGTGGACTCAATAGGGTTACATTAATATACATAAGATGAAGAGCTGATTCATTGTCATCTATGTTTTTCTGGGTATTTGTAAAACCAAACAAAATCAAGACATTGTGCAACAGAAGACCAGGAAAGGGAGATAAGTAGTTTTTTTATTTTTGATCAAAACTGGGCACAGCTCAGTGTTGAAATCAGTGTGCACTGAAAAAAGGATATTCACTGATCAGCTATTAATTTATAAACAAACATTTAGAGGCACGGATCTAATGTAAGAATATATGTAAAAGTGTAGCTGTGTTTGTATGTTCTTAACTGAAATCTAGATCTAATGGATTTATTATGAAACTAGACAGGTAAGATGCTCATGCTGGAAAGTGTAGGAAATGATTTTCTGAAATGGAGAGGAATGTTGAACTGCATATCAATATTCTAGCTTCTGTGTTTGGGGCCTGATCAGCATTACCGAAATACTGATCTGTTATTAATATAAATCCACATTTTTCCTGAATGTCAGCCTGCTCCAGGAGCTCGTTGCCTGTGCAGCAGTGCAAAGGGTATGATGTTCCCTGGATGTGTATGCAGGCTCTGACTTACCCCGAGGTTCCAGCAAGGGTTCTTCAATGACACTGGGAAGTGCAGGAATCAAAATTTAAGTTAAATTTGACAATTATCTAGGCTGTCCTTGGTTAGGACATTAAAAAAAATAGCATGATGTTGACTGCCATATCTTAGAGATGGAAAGAATGAAAATCATGAAAGTCAGGTGTACAAATGAGTAGCTCTTGCTATACCAGTTGTGTGTTATGTTTTGTCTATGAGTATGGGGGAATTGTGGCTTCCTATGGCTCTGTTTCTGCAGACAGAGGTCTGTGCCTGCTTTTTAAGCTCTCGGGTCTCTCTCCTGTAGAACTACCTGAACACTTGAAAGCCTTTGTGCATACTTTTACCAGATCAGTGTTTGCATTTCAAAGGGAGCACCATAATTTCTTGACTCTTAAGTAGCTTATAGGCTGGTTGGCTATGTTGAAATAATAATTGTTTAAATGGGTGACTTGGTCAATATAAAATTAAAAAAATATATATATAAGGAGATCAAAGATGAGCAGACTTTAGTCATCTCTCAAAAGTGGTTGCATGGGTTCATTTCTGTGCATGGAAAGCCAAAGGAAAATATGAATGAAGGAAATCTGCTGCTGTTCAGTTTATGTAACTTCTTCCCTCCCAAATGAGGAGGAAAAAAAAATAGCTTAAATATACTGTTTGAAAGGTGAGAAAGGCAAATATTACTTGCCATGTGTGTCAAGGCTGTGCTAGCTGAAAGCATGGCTGGAATTACTTTGCAGCCTGGGGGAACCTGCCGATGTTGCAGTGGCTGGGTGCTTGCTGTGTGCAGCGTGCACATGGTCATGGTCATGAGTCAACTCCCAAGAGAAGGTTGGGGAGGGGAAGGTGAGGGGACGTTAAAGCAAGGCTCTCCTTGTAGGCATGGTATTGCATAACTGATCTTTTATTAGATCTGGACATTTAAAAAAAATACTGAGAAATGCTGGAAGAGTAAATCTTCAGATATGCTGAAATTCTTAACCAAAGAGAGAAGAAAAATCACTACAGAAAACCTTTAAGAAAAATGTTATGTGAGCTGAGAAAAGAGTAATAGACAAGATTTATCAGGGTTTTAAAAAGCAACTATGAACCTAGGGAAAAAGAAATGTTATTTCTTTGTGCTTAGTTTTCTTAAAAATCATCAAATAAGGTAATATCATATTATTCCAAAGATTTCACCTGTATGTAAAATAGGAGAAATTTCTATATGAAATGCAGCGTTAGTGGAGGATTTTATACTGTTGCAACGGTAGAGGTTGGGAGCCTGATTTTGCAGTCTTTATTGTGACAGATCATGCTTTTATAATTTGTAGCAGCTGCCAGAATGATTAAAGGTGTTGTGATCAGACTTCGAGTGCTGTGGTCCTTCAACCTCAGACGTTTAACTAATACAGTCATAGCAAATCGTACCAAATCAAGTATTTGTTCTTTTATTTTTATAAAAAGTAATGCACAGTGATTGTTTAGATGATTTAGAGGTATTAGTCTAGTAAATTTGTCAACTTGTGTGTAGGTTCTGGAAAAAAATTAGATATTGTTTGTTCTAAGTCTCAGCTCACATTGGATTCTGGTTTTTTGCACATACTGCAGTAAGCAGTTGCTAGAAAAATGCACACATGTAATCTAGAGTCTAACCTTCCAGATGAATACTTTAAACAGAAGCAAAATTTATGGTATTTGCTGAATTTTGCTGCCCCAGAAAGTAGGCTTGTATGGACCTTCAGACACATAGTAGATTACAGAGGCATTTTGAGGGCTGCATTTTTAGAGAGAGAAATGTGAATTTCCCCTCCAAGGCACACTCATCTCAAATATTTTGCATTCTGGGGTAGAAAGTCTGTGTTACTCCTGCAGATTTAGCTTGCCTTTCAATTTGCTTCATCCTACAGGCTGCTTCATTACTGTGGTATGATTTACAGGTTTCCCAATCTGCTTCAACTAATATATTTCTTAATTTAGTAATGAAGCACCATGCTGTAGTGTTGTTAATAGTTATTTATGAAGATAATATTCAAAATTATAGCTTCTTGCAGTGAAAGAAATCCTGTTTTGATTCATATCACTTTTGGTGTTCAAACTCATGTCTTTCAGAGAGCCAGACTCTTTATGCAGCCAGGTTAGAATATCTCACTGTTGTCTCATATTTGAGTACTGTAGCTTTTAACTTCCTTTTCATTCTTCTCTATTTTCAGGAAATAGAAGACCATGTGGCATTTTTAATAACTGTTCCAACAGCCCTAGCAATTTTTTTTGCTATATTTATCCTTGTCTGCGTAGAGCCTGTATTTAAGAAGCTGCTTCGTGTATTTTCTCTGGTGGTCTGGGTATGTCTTGTTGCCATGGGATATCTCTTTATGTGTTTTGGAGGAGTCATCTGTCCCTGGGACCAGGTAAGACCATTATTAATATTTTTTACTTCCATTGACTAACTTTTTCAAGAATTAGTCCATGCAACAGCATTCACAATAATTTCTGTGGGCCGTCTCATAAAAGGTTTCTGTGGTTGTGTTTGGCTGATAAGGTTCCCTGCAACTCTTTTAGAAATAATAAAAAACGTGTGTCTTTACCATATGACAATTTTAATATAATTTTGCATAGATATCTTTAAGGTTCTTTACATATTCATGTTTCCAGTCACAGCCTTCATATGATGAATGCTTGGTTGCAATGGCCAGTTAATGTGGCAGAAGTGATAGTTTTGTTCAAGATTGGCAATGCTGTCTTCTTCAATGTAGTTGGTTGGAGCTCGCAGTGTAGATCTGTCCTTCAAGATATCCTCTAACAAATAAAACAGGATTAGGGCTTTCCCCACATTTCTATTGAAATAAACAAGTAGAGGGAAATCTGAAAAACCTTTCACACTTTCAAAACTGTATAAAACAGCTCAAACATGAACGGAGTTGCTTCAGAGAGCTTTTGGAACATTGAACATGCGGTTTGTGATATAATAAGCTGTACCTGACAAATTCTGTGCTCTTTATAGCTCTTCTTTTCTGCAAGAGTTCCTACTTCCAAATGCTTTTGTTATAATCATGGTAAAATTCCCCTTAAATTCAGTGGGTGCACATCTGGTTCTTTAATTGGAAACCCTATTTTCCTTTTTTGGTCTAACTCATACTTTTTTAAACCAAAACTGTCCCATGGATATATTTCTCAGATGTTATTTTTTTATTTTCTTGCTGTGGTAGGATGAATAAAAGCTTATGTATACATTTATGCACATATGCATAAATGTATCTCTTGAAAACGCCACGTTGACTCCAAGTTTGCTATACCCTCTGAATTATAATACTTTATCTATGGTGTCTTCTATGCCTTTAAGTTCAACTTGGAACATTTACTTTGACTTGCTATTCTGATCCTGCAAAGCTTATGCAAATATTGAACTTTATAGCTAGTTCCTTTAAAATCTTTGACTTAAATGATTTAAGGTGATGGTGCATGTTGGTAATATTAGTTTTGAAGCCTTGCCTTTGCGAATGACTTTAATATTTTCATTTTATTGGAAGATTCAGGGAAGAACTGTTTGTGAAGCTTGAAATGAAAAGACTTGTATGAACATTCCTGTGGTAAAAAGGGGAATAAGCAAATCAAAATACTTTTTTTTTTTCTAGATACAGATTTCACCAGTTGTAGGATACCATTTGAAAGATACTACAGTGTTGCTCAGGCTTAGGCCTGGAGCAGGCAAGGGTTCTCCAGGGTACCTCCATCTCATTGCACATTTGTGGCTTAGCTGTACTTTGCAGAAGTGTTTGTCCTCTGCTAGTGGGGAGGCTGTGACAGTGTGGCCCTTGAGCTCTGAGAGGACTCAGGCATTGAGTGGCTCTCAGCACTAGGAAGGAAATTTCTTCTTTTTCTATTTTTTCTTTTGAATAGCAATGTTGTTTTGATGATGGTTTTTGTAGGCATACTTTTACCTACGGTTAGTTAAGAGTAGATTACTGGGAGATTGCAGTCTTTCTGAGAATTTGACATCTTACACAGGCTAATCCTAGGTTTGATGTTTTTGAACATTTGTAACAAAAAAGTGGTGAGGAGGAAAATGCTGTTGGGTGTTTATATAATGTTGGTGTATTGATTGCTCTGCATCCAGAATATCTGGGTCAACATTCTTCCCTATAATTACCCATGAAAGCAGATCTTTGAATAACCTTTCCATAGTGGTCATTGACAGAGATTCTTTGTCATTTACATTTTGCAAATTTTAAAAACATTAAAACATCCTTGACTTAGTAGGGTCTTTTTATTTTATCTTTTTATAAGAGAAAACAAATGTGATTTTACAAGGGAAAGCAAATGTGATGCAAAATTCTGTTTCAAATATTTTCTTTACAAAACAGCTAGTTGGAAAATCATAAAAATAAAAAAGAAGAGCTATTAGTAGACTTCAGAAATATTCTTTTCATCATGTCTTTCATGTCTTCTAAATCCTCAGCCTGTTAAAAGTACAACAATTCTTAATTGTACTAGTTACTACTGACAAATACATTTTCTGCATGCCATAGTTGATGAGAACGACATAATATTTAGTCATGTGTAAACAAACCTTCTACCCTTAAAAGACAACCTCAAGTCCTTTCATTTTTGGGTTAATGATTTTAATCTTCCATTTGGTTGTTTATAATGGATAAGTGGGGGAATTTTCCCTGTGGTCTGAAGGAACCAAGTCTGAACATTTGCTTCTTTTACTCATGTTAAGAGTATCAATGGAGAGATTATTTTATTTAGGAACTCAATATATAATTAATGCAGAGCAGGACCTGCTGAGCCCATGGGCACATAGCTAAAACTGCTTGCACAGACAGCAGACAAGTGCCAGTGAAGTGGATGGTCAGGGCCATGGTATTTTGTTGGGGCCTGTGGGATGGTGTGGAGTAAATGTGAATTGTAATTAGTTTCAGCTGTCTTTGGTTGCCTCTGTTCCCTGAATTAATTTCTCTGTATTTTCTCTTCTCATCTTACTTGCACTACCAATTTTACCAGCCAGCCTAGTGCTCACGTTAGCCTAAGGTCACTGAATGAGAAAAAACAAATACACTGGATGGAGAGCACCTAAATTAGGTAGTGGGTGACTTAACAGGGCCGGGGCAGAGGGGGATGTGTGTGTGAAAGAACTTGGGCGCTAATGTCAAGTCTCTTTCGTACCTGACAAAGTTATTTTAACCCTGGAAGCCTTCCCTCATGGGCATCATCCCAAGTTTCTGCCATTGGCAAGCTTGGCAGGAGAGTACCAGTTTTACCCTCACAGTCTAGAGAACTTGGACTCTTTAATACTGCATGCACTAAACTTCAGAACAGTCTCTGGCATGTCTGCTACAAGTAGCTTAACACCTAGCTAGTAAGGGCGATGTGCTCTAGGTGTCCCTGCTTGAGCGGGGAGGAGCTTGGACAAGATGATCTCTAGAGGCCCCTTCCAACCTCAACCATTCTGTGATTCTGTGAAAGCAGTAACACATGAAGGTGGTTTCAGGAAAGAGGGATCCAAGGAAGGTGCTTAGAAAGGTGTATGCTGAAGTTGGTGGACAATGTCTTTGATAGAAGACCCATAACACAAGGCAGGTAAACTGAGGAAGTGGTGTTGATGCAAGAATGAGTAGAAGATTGTAGGATTTTTTGTGTGTGCACTGAGAGCTGAGGATTGTAGATGGTTAGATAGGAGTGGCAGAGGCTCACCTTATTCTTCAGTAGCTCAATTCACAAATGCAATGATATGTTGAGGTAAATAAATTCTCTGTCTCTGTAGCCAAGAAGAGAAGTACTCTGAGGATGCCATCAGCCAAAGGATAAAGGTGATGTGTAGTTTTTTCTGGTGTTAGGGTTTTTTCTTACTGCAGAGACTCTTTCCATATAAAATGTAAATCCAGTACTAACCTGTAGAGTTACATACCCGGGGATAAATTTAAATTAATTTTCTCTTTTTTCACTGATAGTTTAGTTATTGGACAGGAGTTGCCTTTCCATGTCAGCCTTTCATGTCTAGTACTTGCTCAGCCTTTGGTGCAGAATGTGTGTGAATGTCACTGCACATTGATATCAATGGATGAGAAGAGCTCTTAGTATACTGTGGATGATACCAAAAAGAGTAATTAATATAGCATCATCCTGGTCTAATGAAATCCGTCATTGCTGAATTTCAATATTCAGCTCTATTTAAGTATGTTTGCAGAGCCCAGGCAGCAGATGTGTTCTACTTGTCTCCTCATGTATATTCAGTTACACTACAGAAATTGTTTCAAGAAGATTTGATGCTTCTGATTTCCTCTCTCCCCCTCAGTATTTTTCCCCAAGTAATGTTTTGAATATGTTTGGCTACATTGTGAACAGTTTCCAAAGTATGGTGTGAGTTTTTTTAATGTGTTGTTTTGGACAGGTCGAATTCAGGCCTTGGAGCAGCACAGCTCTGCAAAGTGTAGGCAGGATTTTTCTCAGTCATTATTTGTAACGCTTAGTTTTATGATATTCTCTTGGTGTCTGAGGACAGCAATGTCAGGTAAGAGTCCATGTAGAGCAGTTTCCCTGGTCTGTCTTAGCATTTGGTTCCTGTATCAGGCGGGACAATTCCTGCTTAGGTTTCCAGAGACAATGGGGGAAACTTTCCAAGTTTTGAGATCTTCAGTAGGTCGCCCTCTCCATGGTATGCTGGATCTCTTCATGGAAAATAAATAACTTGTGCAGAATGACTTACAGGCCCATTTCTGCACCTTTCCTGGGGCCTATGTTAGCCAAAGTCATTATTTACATATTCATAAAATATTGTGTTAACCAGTACAGCAAAATTAGAAGAAGGGCTCAGGAGATGGAGGATAGAGAAGACTTGGAATTGCTTTCAATTTGAAGAGTAAGAAAACGATCAGGAATTAGTATCCTGAACAAGAAACTAAACTAAACTTTGTTGGAAAGGGAACCTTAGTACCTGCTTGAAAAAACAACATGGGAAAAAATTGGAGGGTGTGCATGAGAAGGGGGGAAAAAAATATCAGCCAGCAGAATAAACAATTCTTTAGAAAATGGTGTGATAGAAAAGAAAAAGAAAAAAACACAAAACACAAATACAAGTCATGTTAGAGAAAAAACAGATAATTTACCTTAACATTCATTCTTCTGAAGTCACACAAAATCACAGACTTAATCTGCAAGACTTAATGTCCTTACCAAATCAGCTGTGCCTATATCTATATATAAGACAGAAAAAATCTAAGCTAAGCCACTATTAACCTTTGGTAAGTCATGCCAATAGTTTGATAGCTGTTCTTGGAAAGAGAGCAATTTCTTTAAATAGGGAAAGCAGATTTATAAAAAACTGTCGTAGTGCCAAATGGAAAATTAGAAGCCAAGCTGGAGAAGATGGGAATTATTAAAATAACTGTAAATGTAAATGAAAGGATAT